TTATTTGGAAGCCGTCATTGTGTTCATGCACGCCATTACAAAACAAAACTGTTTTCTCTCTTTTTTTTTTTTCTTTTTTTTTTGTTGTTGATGTTTCAACTTTCCATTCCCCCACATTAAAGAAAAGAAGGGACTCAAAGGGGTTCCGTACACGTCCCAGCAAGCCGCATAATAATAAAAAAAAAAAAAAAAACAAGAAGGAGAAACAAAAAAAAAAAAAAAAAAGATACGCCAAAGTGACGCATTAATCACAGCAGATAGAAGGAACTAAAGGAGCGAAGCCAAACACACACACACACACAAAAAAAAAAAAAAACACTCCAATAAAGAATAACGGAAAATATACCTCTTTATATATATATATATATATATATATTAATAATAAATGGGCCAGTTACTCTGCTACACCTGCGTGGAGCAATCGGATGTGGCGTTATTGGAGACCTGCGGCAAGTACGTTGGAACGGCAGGGCCCGGTTGCCACTGCATACTCCCATGGACTTCTAAAGCCGGGACGCTTTCCATGCGACTGTACGAGCATCACATCCACATTCGGTCCAAGACGAAAGACAACGTGTTTGTCAATATCCGGTTGACGGTGCATGTGCAGGTGATTCCTGGCCGGGAGAACTTGGCCTTTTACTCCGTTGAGGCTCCGCTAAAGGTTATTCAGAGCTATGTGGAGAACTGCGTGGAGACGAAAATCCCGCTCTACAACCTCGATGCGCTCTTTATCGAGCGTGGCACCATTTCCCAGCAACTGAAGAGCGAGACCGACGCCGTCATTGAGGGCTACGGCTGGGACATTGTCTCCGCGCTCATCACAGAGATTGACCCTGGTGCCGCCATGACGGACGCGATCAACAGCATTCAGAAAAACCAGCGGCTACGCGTGGCCGTTGTGGATGAGGCGGAGACAAAGAAAATGCGGCGCATCCGTGCGGCAGAGGCGGCCTGCGAATCGCGGCGGCTGGCGGGGCGGGGGCTGGCGGAGCAGCGGAAGGCCATCGTGGCGGGTCTGCGGAAATCCGTCACGGAGATGCGGCAAGACGTGCCCGGGCTGAGCAACGAGGAGGTGCTCAATCTGCTCATGATCAACCAATACTACGACACCATGAAGAATGTAACGGAGAACAGCAGCGGCAGCCTCCTCTTCATGGAGGGAGCGACTGGACTGCAGTCGTACTCAAGGGACCTTAGAAACGGCGTGGCACAGGTTATGCGCTAAATATATATATATATATGTGGCAAAGGGAAACGCACAACATAAAATGACGAAAAAGAAAGAAATCAAGCGAACCAAGTGAAACAAACACAATTCAGGGCAGTACGTGGCAGGCGCCCTTTGCCTCTTTGTCTGTATGTATGTGTGTGTCTGTGTGTGTGCGTGTCTTTGCTTTTTAACCACTATCCGCATGCTGCTGCAAAAGCAACAAAGGCGATTTGCTTATTGCGTGGCACATACTCAGACATGAACATTCTCTTTTATTATTATTTTTTTTTCTTCTTACCGGTGTAGAAGGTCTGGTGTTGTACTTATTCCAATTTCTTCTTTTTTACTGTAGTATTATTTTTGCTTTGTTTATCTTGTGCCTTTTTTTTCCACCCAATAAATTTGATGATCAGCATTACAAAAGCACATGCCCCTCATACCTCATGGTGCTGTACTGTGCCCCAGTAATGCACGGCTGTCCCGGCATTGGTCAATGCCGTCAGAGCTACGCCAGCACTAATTTCATGAGGGAAACATTGCTGGCTCTTGGCTTCCCTGGCAATACGGGGCAACCGGCCCTGGCGCCACAACGAAGCAGCCGGCATTGCCCGTGCGCACAGCTCCTGCTGGCATTCACCACCAACGGGGCCCTCCGCAAGAGCACACGCCAACCCAAGGTGTCGTCCACAAAAAACAGGTGCGCCGCCCAGCACGCCGCACACACCGTCTCCATGCACCAACACACGCACCCGCCTGCTTGACAACTTTCTCCCCTTCTCTCCTTTTGTTAATTCTTGTTGCAATTGTAGGAGCTCCAATAGTTTGGGAAGAGAAGCACTCACACGCACACGCCTAGCAGTGAAGAGAGGACGCCAGTATTCATGAGCCGGACGAACCCTGTGGTCCCCGCCACGAGCGGCACCCGGCCCGACGACGCCGACAGCCCGTCGCACCACTCATCTCACGCGATGAACGGCAGCGAAAGGAAAAGCACGGGGGAGGATGCGGTGCCGGAGAAGTTGATGCCCGCGCCTAACGAGCCGCCGGCCTCCAACACCATTCTCGCGAAGTTGAAACGGTGCGTGATTGTCGTTATTCCTCCGGGCGGTATCCTTGCGAGCGCCTTCAACCTTGCGTCGTCGTCGATTGGCGCTGGCATCCTCGGTCTGCCCCTGGCAACGAACAGCAGTGGGCTTGTGATGGCCCTCGTGTACCTCGCGGTCATCACGTCCCTGACCATCTACTCGATGTATGCTCTTGGCTTGGCAGCGCAGCGATCGCAGATCCGCACCTTTGAGGGTGTTGCGTTGACGCTGCTGGGCCGCGGATTTGCCTTTTTTGCGGCGGGTGTGCGCATATTTCACGGATTTAGCGGCTGTGTCGCGTACGTGATCAGTGTCGGCGATATCTTCAGGAACATCATAAGCAGCAGCGACAGCGCACCGCAGTTTCTGAGGGAATCCACCGGCAATCGCCTGCTGACGGCCCTGGTGTGGCTCTGCGCGATGATGCCACTGGTGATCCCGAAGCACGTTGATTCGCTCCGCTACTTTTCCACCTTTGCCGTCTCCTTCATGATTTACTTTGTCGTGGTCATTGTTGTGCACTCGTGTACGCACGGCCTGCCGGACAACATCCACAAAATCAGCGTGAGCAAGGACGATGACGCTCCCGTGGTGCTCTTCAATAGCGGCAACAAGGCGATTGAGGGGCTTGGCGTCTTTATGTTTGCATACGTTTGTCAAATCAACTCATACGAGGTGTACTGGGACATGACGGACCGCACGCTCACCAGGTTCACTCTTGCCTCCGGGCTGGGCATGACGCTGTGCTTCCTGCTGTACGCCATGGTGTCCTTCTTTGGCTACATGGACTTTGGCAGGAAGGTGGACGGCTCCATCCTGCTTATGTACGATCCACTCCAAGAGCCCGAGGTGATGGTGGCTTACGTTGGCGTTCTCTCCAAGCTGTGTGCCTCCTACTCGCTGCTCTTCATGGCCTGCCGCAATGCCATTTACCACATTATTGGGTGGGATGCGGATGAGTTGCCCTACTGGAAGCACTGCATTGCCGTGACCATTCTTTCGACCATTGTTCTATTTTGCGGCCTGTTCATCCCGAAGATCCAAACTGTGTTGGGCTTTGCCGGCTCCATCACGGGCGGCTCTCTCGGCTTTCTTCTTCCGGCGCTGTTTGCGATGTACTCGGGGGATTGGACGTGGAGGAAGGTGGGATGCGTCCACTACGTGTGCACGTACATATTGCTGCTGGCGGGTGTCATTGGCGTCGTGTTCGGTACTGGTGCGACGATTTGGGCCACCGCTTGCGGCTAGAGGGCAATGGATCGCTGTATATGAATGATTTTTCCTTCTTTTTATTTATTTAATTTTGAAGACGTGGGACTGTAGGAAGATAAAAATGATTGTGAAGCCCCTCTAATGGGCATATTTGTGGGGAGTGTGTTTGTGTGTGTCGTGAGGGGACCTGCATTCACGTGTATGCGCGGATGCAAGAGAGCCTCTCTCATGGTTGGTGTGGAGGGTTTTTGTTTGTTTGTTTGTTAAATACGTTTGGAAGGAGCATAATAACAGATGAGGCTAAATAAATGAGGGCGATTCTTTTTCATTTTGCTTTCCCGTTTTTTTAATTACCCGTTGAACTTTTTTATTATTTTAATTTTTTCAAAAACGATTCCGCGTTGAAGGGCGGCGGGTGCAGTTGTTTTGCGGTGCACTTCCACCCACTCCTATTTTTGTTACCTTCCGCTCGGTGGGGATCACCGGCGGCTGTGGGGCCCTTTCAAAGAGTGCTGCCTCGTGAGCCCACAACGGTCCCGGCCGTCAGAGAGCGATGTATGGACCAATCGTTTTGCTGGTGTATGAGCGTGGGGCATGCCTTCTCTGGAGTGTGGGGGGAGGTTGGACGCACGGAACCGAACTGTGGACTTCCCCTGCTGCTCCCCTCCTCCCATTTTGGAAGGAGAAGTGGCGACAAGGCCCCGCCATGCGCATACTCCGACAATAACGTTGTGGCGCAAGAAATGTGTCTGGTCGAAGTGTTCCAATAATATTTTACCAGAGTTTAAATTTTATTACTATTTGTGGTTTGCGGCAAAATGTGTGTTTTAACCGCCCGCTCATCTCCCCCACCCAGGCCCTATCAACCGTGCCGCGTGGGAAGCAGGTAAAAGACGCCCTTAGTGCCTCCACTTCTTTTTTAAAGGGACTAACGATGTGTGGGCGATGAGAAGCCATCCTTGACTCTCCATCCGTTGCGGCATGAATGCCCATTTTGGTGGGAATTGGGAGGACGCGACCAACGTGAGTTATGTTTTTTTCTTTTTCTTGCCATCTTTCTGGTCTTGGAGGGAGAGGTAGGGCGTGGACGCTAATGGAAGATGCATGGCGGAGGGAGCGTATAAAAACGGTCCTGATGCCTCTGGTAAGCGCGTTGCTGGGAATTGAGAGTGCTGTGCGGGACGGACAACCGCAACATAGAATAAAAAGATGAACACGGGGAAAAGGAAGCGGAGGACGGGAGAGAAACGGAAAAAACTACATGTTGCCTTACTTTGGTGCCTAGGATGCAGCGCCTGGGGTCTGAACGCACGGGGCTCCCGGCAGTCACCACGACCTTCTCTTGGCTTTTGGGCGCCACCGCCCGGTACCTGCGATGACCCCCTGCTGCTGTGTGCGCAGCCTGTGGGTAAGGGGCGACGGATGAGTCGGTGCTGAGGGGCCGGATGAGGCCCCGGTGGAGGCGCGGCCCGCTGGCTCCCTCCCGGCGTCTCCACGCACCAACACACGCACCCGCCTGCTTGACAACTTTCTCCCCTTCTCTCCTTTTGTTAATTCTTGTTGCAATTGTAGGAGCTCCAATAGTTTGGGAAGAGAAGCACTCACACGCACACGCCTAGCAGTGAAGAGAGGACGCCAGTATTCATGAGCCGGACGAACCCTGTGGTCCCCGCCACGAGCGGCACCCGGCCCGACGACGCCGACAGCCCGTCGCACCACTCATCTCACGCGATGAACGGCAGCGAAAGGAAAAGCACGGGGGAGGATGCGGTGCCGGAGAAGTTGATGCCCGCGCCTAACGAGCCGCCGGCCTCCAACACCATCTCGCGAAG